TTTTTTTCAAATAGAGATGGTGTTTCACTGTGTTATCCAGGCCAGTCTGGAAGCCCTGGGCTCAAGTGATCATCCTGCCTTGGCCTCCCAAAGTACTGGGATTATAAGCAAGAGCCACCATGCCCAGCCAAATCTGAGTATCTTATGTGTGCCAGTTATTATATTTGGTGCAATAACATGCTAATGAAATAGAAACTGTATGCTCAAATAGGGAATAAAACTAGTTCATGAGGCTGGAGAAAAAGCAAAAAACACTTTAAATGTTGCATGAAATGATATATGGTATGGATGCTATGGAACATCCCTAAAGGGATGTGTTACTAGCCAAAAGGGGGAATCTTTCTAGTAAAATAAACAGTAATTCTTGAGATGTGTCTTAGAGCATGAGGTATTATGAGGGAGAGAAGGGTACAGTTGGTAGAAGGCAATAAAATCCAGAAATTTGCATGTGTAAAGTGAGGAGACGTGAAACAATATGCATTTCAGTTCTGTAAGAGTGAATGATGTTGTGAGGACGTTGAAAGTCAAAAACTTTGCAGCTCCAGAAATAAGCAAGTAACAGATAATCAGGGGTACAATATACTATGTTGAAGAGTTTTGATTTTCTTTCTGAAGGAGGGGATGATTCACTGTTAAATTAGGAAGTGATAAATTTAATTCCTACTAAGAAAAATCTCTCTGGCAAGTAGGGAAGGTGATAGAGATAGAGAGAAGAAAAGTCACTTTGGAGACAAGAAGCAATTACAGAAATTTAGGTAAGAAGCAACAAGTACGTAGACAATGTGGAATAGAGAGTAGTAAGTCCAAGAAATACTGAAGAAGTAGAGATTAAATTTGATTTCATATTTGGTTCAAAGTGAGCAGCAGCTGAACATATATGATGGCTTCCTGATTATTATTTTAGGAAATAGGAAGATAATGGGGAAATCAGCAGAAGTGACGTCTCAAGGTGGGGAAGGAAGATGTTGAGTTGGAGTGTCTGTGGAACAGTGTTGAGTATATGTTTAGTGAGTACTTGTACATAAGAGGTGGAGCTTGGAATACAGATAATTCTGGATTAACCAGTTGTATCTGGTAGTTACAAGCTGTGTTAGTCAGGGGTTCTTTAGAGGGATAGAACTCATGGAATATATATATATATATATATATATATATATATATATATATATATATGTGTGTGTGTGTATATATATATATATATATATATATAAAGGGGAGTTTATTAAATATTAACTAACATGATAACAAGGTGCCACAATAGGCCATCTGCAGGCTGAGAAGCAAGGACAGCCAGTCGGAATTCCAAAACTGAGGAACTTGGAATCCAGTTAAAGCATCCAGCCCAGGAGTAGGCTGGGAGGCTGGGCCAGCCTCTCTTTTCAGATTTTTCTGCCTGCTTATATTCTAGCCACATTGGCAGCTGATTAGATTGTACCCACACAGATTAAGGGTGGGTCTGCCTTTCCCAGCCCTGTGACTCAGATGTTAATCTCCTTAGGCAACAGCCTCACAGACACACCCTGGATCAATACTTTGTATCCTTTAACCCAATAAAGCTCACCCTCAGTATTATCCATCACACCAGCATAAAGTAGTTGAGGCCATGGATGTGGATATATTGTGTACATAGAGGTTGTGGTTGGGTGTACATGCAGAGTGAGGAGATTAAATGCCCAAAGATCGAGCTCTAACAAATGGCACAATTTTAACAGGGACATCATTAAAGATGAGCTCTGTAATATGGATATTGGTTTGATAATTAATTTAATTATAGCCAGGGAACAAATGGTAGATACAGTCTCTGTATTAGTCCATTTTCACACCACTATATAGAACAACCTGAGAGTGGGTAATATATTAAACAAAGAAGTTTAATTGATTCACGATTCCATATGGCTGGGGAGGCCTAAGGAAACTTAAAATCATGGCTGAAGGAAAGCAAGGCACTTCTTCACAAAGCAGCAGGAAAGAGAGAGAGCTTAGGGGAAACTTCCACTTTTAAGCCATCAGATCTCATGAGAACTCCCTCACTATTACCAGAACAGCATGGGGGAAACCATGCCTGTGATCCAGTCAACTCCCACCAGGTCCCTCTTGTGATACATGGGAATTACAATTCAAGATAAGATTTGTGTGAGGTCACAGAGACAAACCATTTCATTCCACCTTTGGCCCCACCCAAATTTCATGTTCTTTTCACATTTAAAAACTAATCTTGCCTTCGTGAAAGTCTCCCAAAATCTTAACTCATTACAACATTAGCTCAGAAGTCCAAGTACAAGGTCTCACCTGAGATAAGACAAGTCTCTCTCACCTATGAGCAAGAGTCTTAACTCATTACAGCATTAGCTCAAAAGTCCAAGTACAAAGTGTCATCTGAGATAAGGCAAGCCTCTCTCATCTATTGTAAAATCAAAAGCAAGTTACTTACTTCCAAGATACAATGGAGGTACAGGCATTGGATAAATGTTCTTATTCCAAATGGGAGGAACCGGCCAAAACAAAGGGGTCACAGGCCCCATGGGAGTCCAAAACCTGGTGGAGTGGTCATTAAATCTTAAAGCTCCAAAATCTCGTTTGACTCTGTGTCTCATATCCAGGGAATCCTGATGCAAGGGGTGGGCTCCCATGGCCTTTGGTAGCTCCACCCCTGTGGCTCTGTGGGGTGTATCCCCTGTGGCTGCTTTCACAGCCTGGTGTTGAGTGCCTATTATAGTTTGTCTGTGTCTCTACCCAAATCTCAACTTGAATTATGTCTCCCAGAATTCCCATGTGTGTATGGGTGGGACCCAGGAGGAGGTAAATTGAATCATGGGGGCTGGTCTTTCCCATGCTATTCTCATGATAGTGAATAAATTTCACAAGATCTGATGGGTTTATCAGGCATTTCCACTTTTTCTTCTTCCTCATTTTTCTCCTGCCGTTGCCATGTAAGAAATGCCTTGCACCTCCCACCATGATTCTGAGGCCTCCCTTGCCATGTGAAACTGTAGGTTCAATTTAACCTCTTTTTATTCTCAGTCTCAGGTATGTCTTTATCAGCAGCTTGAAAACAATCTAATACAATGCCTGTGGCTTTTCCAGCACATGATGCAAGCTGTTGATGGATCTATGATTCTGCAGTCTGGAGGACAGTGACCTTCTTTTCACAGCTTCACTAGGCAGTGCCCCAGTGGGGACTCTGTGTGGGGGCTCCAACCCCACATTTCCCTTTCACACTGCCCTAGCAGAGCTTCTCTATAAGGGCTCTACCCCTGCAACAGACTTCTTCCTGGACATCCAGGCATTTCCATACAGTCTCTGAAATCTAGACAGAGGTTCCCAAATCTCAACTCTTTCTTCTGTGCTCCCACAGGCCCAACACCACATGTAAGCCAACAATGCTTGGGGCTTATACCCTCTAAAGCAAAGACCTGGGCTGTACACTGGCCCCCGTTAGCCATGACTGGAGCTGCAGCAGCTCTGCTGCCATGCCCCAAGGCTACACAGAGCAGCAGGGCCCTGGGCCCAGACCACAAAACTATTTTTTTTCTCCTATGCTTCCTGTCCTATCATGGGAGAGACTGCTGTCCTTTTTGGGAGAGGCCGAAGTCCTGTGATGGGAAAGGCTGCCCTGAATATCTCTGAAATGCCCTGGAGACATTTTCACCATTTCCTTAGTTACTAACATTTGACTCTTCATTACTTATGCAATTTTCTGCAGTCAGCTTGAATTTTTCCCCAGAAAATGGGTTTTTCTTTTCTACCACATGGTCAGGCTGCAAATTTTTCAAACTTTTATGCTCTGCTTCCCTTTCAAATAATGTCTTTTTGAATGCATATGACTGAATGCATTCAGAATCAGCCGGGTCACCCCTTGAATGCTTAGCTGCTTAGAAATTTCTTCCACCAGATACCCTAAATCATTTCCCTGAAGTTCAAAGTTTCACAGATCTCTAGGGCAGTGACAAAATGCCACCAATCTCTTTGCTAAAGCATAGCAATAGTGACCTTTACTCCAGTTCCCAAGAAGTTCCTTATCTTCATCTGAGACCACCTCAGCCTGGACTTTGTTGTCCATATCACCATCAGCATCTTGATCAAAACCATTCAAGTTTCTGGGAAGCTCCAAACTTTCCCACATCTCTCTGTCTTCTTCTGAGCCTTCCAAACTGTTCCAACCTCTGCCCATTACCCAGTTCCAAAGTTGCTTCCACATTTTCAGGTTTCCTTTATAGCAGTGCCCCACTTCAAGCACCAATTGTCTATATTAGTCACTTTTCACATTGTGATAAAGAATAATCTAAGACTGAGTAATTTATAAAGGAAAATAGTTTAATTGACTCACAGTTTCTTATCGCTGGGGAGGCCTCAGGAAACCTATAATCATGGTGGAAGGCTAAGGGGAAGTAAGGCATGTCCTCACAAGGTGACAAGAGTGATAGAGTGCTCAGGGGAAACTGCCACTTTTAAACCATCAGTTCTCATGAGAGCTTTCTCACTAACACGAGAATAGCACGAGGGAAATCACGCCCGTGATCCAGTTACCTGCCACCAGTCCCTCCCTCCATATGTGGGGATTACAAGTAGAGATGAGATTTGGGTGGGGACACCGAGCCAAGCCATGTCAGTATCTTTTTAAATTTAGAGTTATTTTTATTCTACTTATTATATATGCACAAAAGTGAGAGGGGATAATTTAGGATAGATTCCTGGTTTCTGTCCTAGGCAAATAAATGGATAGAGGTATACAAAAAAGAAAACAAAAAACTAAGCACAAACATGCATGTGTGTGTGTATGCGTGTATACATACTTGACTGTATATAGCATAATAGCATTTTTGGATGCGTTCTTATTTTTTACAACTAAGAATATATTATGAAAAATATCATACTGTAGAGGGAATTTGAGTTTCATTAGTCAGATGCAATTATCTCCCACTGTGTGAAGCTGACTTTCCTTATCAAGAGCAAAGTAAAAAGGCTAAGCCTATTTTGCCGTCTCTTTGATGTTTTTATAGGATATAATGAAAGATGAATGCTCGATGCTCAAGCTGCAGCTGAAAGAGAAGGATGAATTCATTTCCCAACTTCAGGAAGAGCTGGTAAGTGATAACAATACTTGTCCCACAGAGTGTACTTTCCTTGCAAGGTTATTTGTTCCAAACCCTTATTTATTAATACCAATAACATTAGTTATTAATAAATACTTCCAGTGTTTCAATCTGATGATCAGTTTTTATAATCCTGTCATGAAAACTGTAGATCTTTGACAAGCTAAAGAATAGAAAGTGTTTTATTTTATGTGGAGATGTATATTATTCCAGAAACATATCACTGAACCAGGATTAAGTATTTCAGTTGTATGTATCAGAAATCTTGAAGGCTTAGGCTACATTGTTTTTTTGTAAAGTGCATGATTTAACACCAAACTGCTATACCTAAAGATACAGATCTATAATATAAAGGAAAATCAACAATCTAGCAAACAAAACCAGATTTTACTTTTTATTTTTATAAAGCTATCAAAATTATATTAACCTAATGAAACTTTTTGTTAATTTACTATATAATTCCCAAATTGTGTAAAAATTATAGAAAAATATGAAATGTATATAGTTCATGTTTTTAGAGTATGGTTTTTAATGTGTTATCATAAAAGAAGGTATGGAATTATACCTTCAAGATATAAAAATATATTTGGTAGATAACAGACAGCAGTGGGTGTTATTTTTTTCTAAGTATGTGTTTGCTATTTATCTATGAATATTAACAGTATTTTGCAATAAAATGTGCACTTTGGATATAAATTTAAAAAGATAGTACTCTATAACAAGAATCAAATAGAAAAAATAAGAAGAAATATTTTTTAATTCATTTTTACACTAACAGTAGATTAAAGAAATAACTATACTATAAAAGAGACCCTGACTCATTATCAAGAGCAAGGATCAAATCCTTCTCAACATATTTTTAGTGATTATTTCAGACTCACAGTTGTATATTATATAATTATTGAATACAACTAAATAACAGACTTCATAGACCATCAAGCTTCTGAGGACTTCTAACATATTAGTGAGATATAGAGAAACTCAGAGCTTACGTTATAAACTCTTAACAACTGACAATGTTTTCCCTGAAACTTGACCTTTATTTAAAGTGTTCTGTGATTGAACTGATGCTGATCATTGGTCCCATGAACATGTTATTGTGGTTTAGAAGACTTATAAACTTAGTACTTAGAATAGCAATGGTATCACAGACAAAATGAACGTATGTCACATTACTGAAATAACTTTTTATAAATCTATAAGTAACATATTGTAGTATCAACTTTATATATTACATAATGAAAACATTTCTGTATTTAAATATAGCCCTCTAGATATATATTATGTAACAACCCTTTTTTATGTGACATACAAAAAATCTTTGAGCTGACTAAATATCACATATAGATATTTATTGCATGTTGGATAAAATAATCAATTTTAACATAACTGTATCCATTATTTTGTCAGAAAGTGCTTATTTTAGATTTGGATAATTAACTCAGAAAGATTATCCATTTTTTTCTCAGTATTACTTATTATCAGTTTAAAACATTAATATATAAGAAATCAGACATTTACTTGCTGAATTAAATGAAAAAATAAAGTGATTGCCTCCAAAGACAGTACTTCATAGTTATAATTAAAGAAATTTAGTACACCTTCCTCTAAAAACGTCCTGTATGTGTTTTATTTTTTCTTTTCTTTTCTTTATACTTGAATTACTCAGATTGGCTACTTAGTTTCTAAAATTTCTCAGGTAACAATCAAGCGGCATTTTATTTTGTGCTATCATAGTTTTCATAATCATCTTGAATATTTCAGGAAAAAATGTTAACTTTTGAAAATATAATATATTAGTTAAAAAGGACTGTAGCTAAGAAGGAAGTATGTAATTGATGATTCAAGAATTTTGCTCAGAGGAAACGTTATTGGGCGAAAAAAAGACATCATTGAAACTGAATTTGGAGCATGGATGAGGAATGCCAATTACATAGGCCAATACAAACCCCTTGCATCCATGGAAAACTTTGGCCCTACTATTTCTGGTTCCGGTATAAGTAACTTGTGACATTTTGTTATGGTGGAATTTAAATTTTACATTTATGCTTTATTTACTTAAATTTGAAAGTTTCAAAAAATTTGAGAAACCACTTCAGCTGTACCCTATTATATACTACAATTTCATAATCTGCAATAATTTAGAACTTGTTCAGTTTTATATTGTTTCTCATGGGTTTCTGATTTCTTGACCAATGTTATTATCACAAGCAATTGTATGTACATGTACATAGTAGAATAAAATTAGATGTAATTATACCAAAAGGCTTTATATCCAATTAATAATTAAGAAAGTTTTAAATTTTTTGATTATTTATATTTTTTAGTTTTTTAGCCTCATCAATAGTGAGAAGAGTTATAAAAACTTGGGGACAGAATGGGATTAGAACAAAATAAATATTTTTTTTTTTCTTTTCTTTTTCTTTTTTTTTTTTGAGACAGAGTCTTGCTCTGTCACCCAGGCTGGAAAGCAGTGGCACAATCTCAGCTCACTGTGCAACCTCCACCTCCGGGGTTCAAGCAGTTCTCCTGCATCAGCCTCCCAAGAAGCTGGGACCACAGGCACATGCCATCATGCCTGGCTCGTTTTTGTATTTTTAGTAGAGATGAGGTTTCGCCATGCTGGCTAGGCTGGTCTTGAACTCCTTACCTCAAATACTCTGCCACCCTCAGCTTCCCAGAGTGCTGGGATTACAGGTATGAGCCACCATGCCTGGCCATAACAAGTGTTTTAGTCATTTAAGTACAAGATTTTTAGTCATTTATTTTTAGAGCATGGTTTCTCAACAATAGTGCTACTGGCATTTGTTTTATGCATTACTTACCTTGGTGAGCTTTACTGTTTTCAACAGATAAAGATAAAAATAATCACTTGCAATTGTTTTATTATATCCAAAGGGATATTAAATGTTAGAATATTAGAGAGTTCTGGGATTATATATGTGCTAGGGCAACTAATTGGAGAAAACGAGAAATATATTCTGTAGCCAGAAGTTTACAGTATGATAAACAGAGAGGAAACTAGTTCACAGCAAGGAGCATCTACTCCCAACTGTCCTGTAATAGAACAAAATCTCCTCTGCATTAAATAAGAAATAGAGCAAAGGGAAATTTTTCTTCTCCTTATCTTCCTATGGCCTTAGGTTTCTTTACTTGAGGAGAAGAGTGAGTCAGTATGGTGATATGGAAAATTGGGATATGAATTTCTTGCCCTACTTTTAATCTTAATTGCCTATGTGACTAGATTTAGGTATTTTTCTCTATTTGGGCATTAGTTTCTTCAACTGTCAAATCATATTACTATATATTTTGGTCTGTTTTGTGCTGTCCTAACAAAATATCACAGGCTGGGTAATTTATGGTATTTTATAAAAACAGAAATGTATTTCTCACAGTTCTGGAGGCTGAGAAGTTCAAGATCAAGGAACTAGTAGAATAGGGCCCAATCTCTGCTTCCAGGATGGTTTCTTGAAAGCTATATCCTGTAGAGAGAAGGAATGCTTGTCCTCACATGACAGAAAGGCAGAACAGTATTATTCTTCTCCTGCAAGGCCTTTTCTATAGCAGCTTTAATCTATTCATGAGAGTGGAAGCCTTCATGATCTAAACATCTCTCCATAGTTGGCACTTTCCAACACTATTTGGGATCAAATTTTCAATGCCAGAATTTGGCGGGATATACTACTCAGACCATAGGACCATAATATCAAAATATTACATATTTATCAATAATGAATTTGATAGATTATAGTATATTTATATAATAACTGTATTATATATATTTTTATAGCTATGTTGCTTTTGAAATTATTAAGTGGAAGGAAAAAGCAGATTTTAGAACAGCATATTGCATGATAACGTGATGTGAAAATATATGTTGTATAGTAAGACTAGAATAATTGATAGTATTTATCTTTGAGAAATTAGAATGCTCAATATCTGCTTTAATTTGGTACTATATCATTTTTAATAACTAATATATTGCTTTTATAATCAGAAAAACATCAGACATGCTTCTTTGGAAAATAAATGAAGAATTTTGATGCATTTAATGGTTTTCATTCTGTGATAAGTGTGTTTTGGGAGAAATAAAGGCAGAAGAGGGATCCTGTGGATTTCCGCCCCCCACCCACTTAATGATAGCAGTCCTCCTTTCATTGTTTTTTTCTTAACATTACTTATTACATTATCGTTTCCATCAATAAGCAGTTTTTATTTATTGCATATCATTATTCTCCAAAGATTTTATTTGATGAAAACCCACAGCTGAAAACAAATCAAGCAAACAAACCAAAAATACTGAGCAAGATGATTGCTAAGAAATACTGTGAATTATTAAACAGGGTGGGAAATGAGAACAAAAGCTGTGACATACACCTCAGTGAGAATTATTACACGTCATGGTGATTGGAGAGAATATTAGCTAATTGAGGGCATGGAAGAGAACCAACATTCAGAATCAGGAATAATAGGAGGACTTTTTTGATAATTAAATTTTTGGATATATATTTTTAAATATACGCTCTATTTACTTTGTAGAATATACTGGACTTTTTGAATATTAGAAATATATCTCTCTTATCTGACAGAAAAATTTAGGGAGTTCGGTAATTTAGTTTATTAAGATATTTAAAGCATAGCTATAGGTTTAGACCAAAAGTCTAAATATAATAGCTAAAAGTATGCATACTTGATCATAATTAATATAAAATATTAAATATTTGCATAAGTATAATTTGTTACATTTAATGATATAAAATAGCTAAATATTTTTCTAACTTCTGAGAATGTTAAAATGTCTTTTCCTTAGCTATTTTGTGAAGGTTAAGTTGAAGAATGCCACATAATTTTATTACTCATATGAAACTTAGGGGCATTGTAAATATTATTCTCAGGTGGCTAAAATAAATTTGAGAGATTTGTCATAAATGTTGATGGTGAAGTGTAGCCTTGTGTTTGGGGGGATGGATATGTTCTTGTAAATGATTATT